TGTCTATGTGTGTGGGTGTGTGTGTTCAAGAGATTTCGTTTGCTTGGTCAGCCTGACCAAGTGGATTTGATTCAGATGTCCCTGTCTTGCTTCCGTTATGGTGTTCTGACGATTTACCTTAGAATGCTGGGAATGTTCAAGTAACTTTTCTTGTTTCAGGCTGTGCAAATAAGAGCTTGTTCTCCTTAACCCTATATGTACCGTTGATTTGCAAAAATGAAAAACAGCCATCAGAGATGGGATCCGATCCACAACACGACAAAGGTGGACTACCTGTGGTCAGTCGGTAATACTCCGTTTGGAAAGCTGTCAAAGTTGCATACACTCTCCTTTGTCCAGCGAGTGGCTGCTCATCGCAACCTCATTGTCACTGTACTAAATCAGCACATTGGAGAAGCTCGCCGTTTGCTCACCGCTATTGAGGTTGGTTTCTCTCTCTTTCCCCCGTGCCATGCGGCAGGAAAACGTCTCATCGTCGCTCCTTGTAATACTTTCTCTGCCCACATCCTTGTCTCATCCTCACTTCCTCTTTCATGTGGCTGCTTATCCTGTCTTGCTACAGCCATGCAGTATTCCCCCGAAAACAACTTCCGCAGCGACTCTGCGGTAATACGTGACTCAAAGCCTCCCTCCTGCCCTTCCAACTCCAGGATACGAGGCATGACCAAGAGGTTGTGGGTTATATTGTCATCAACGCTGCGGGTGGATATGGTGGCACTTCTGCGGTTGCTTCTACTAATGCGTCTGCTTGTTCTGCTGTTCTCTTGCTTCTTCTTTTTCTTCCTCGTCCTTTTCCTCTTTCTTTTCCTTTTACTCTTCCTCTTCCTCTTTCTCCTCCTCCTTTCTCCTCGTCTTCTTCCTCTTCTTCTTCTTCTTCCTCTTCTTCCTCTTCTTCCTTCTTCTTCTTCTTCCTCCTCTTCTTCTTCCTCCTCTCCTCCTTCCTCTTCTCCTTCTCCTTCTCCTTCTCCTTTTTCTCCTTCTCCTCCTCCTCCTCCTCGATTAATGCTCGTTATCCTTGCATGGCGGGCATGCTAGTGTTCTCTCTTTCATTCTAATTTTGATGCATTTCCCGAAGGATGTTACGTTGCTGCTCCTGCTGTTGTATGATGCTGTTTTCCCGTCTACTACTGCTTCTGCTGGTACCCCTACTACGACTTCGTTGTTACGGTGTTGTTTCTGCTGATGGTTATGGGTGTATAGCAGTGTTGCAGCCCCTGACAATCGGCTGCCCTATATCACCCCTATACCCCCCCTATAGTCCAACCCCAACCCCCCCATACGCAAAAGTTTCTCAGCGGATTTGGGCTGTACTCAGCAAGCGCAGTACAGCCCCCAACTCAGATTTGCAAAAAAAAACAATGGATGGTTGTTTTCTGACTGGTCTGCAGACCGCCGACCGGTCGGCCCTACTGGTCGGCTGCAGTACGGTCGGCGGTCGGGGTCAGCGGTCAGCAGGGATGCAACCCTGGTGTATAGTATACATGAATCTCTGAATCTCTTAATTTTTGCTCACTGACTTTGACTTGTTTTGACTTTGTTTTTGACCCCTTTCTTCTTTGCAGAAATATGGTGGAGAGCATGTCCTACTGCATCAGGAGAAACATGTGCAGTTTACTCAGAGATGGAATGTGTTCTTTCACAAGGTCTCGAGATGCACACAGCTGCTGTCAAATTTTGAATTCAATCATGCCTTCTACTTTGCTCAGTCTGCAGAACATGACATCCAAGCTCTGGAGGGCATTGTGCGGCAGGCTGCAGACTCACTCGAGACGACACTGGATTGCTTCAAGGTAAGCCATGCGCAAGGCAGGCGGGGGGGGGGAGATGTTGGGGGAAAGGAGGGAAGACAGCAAGAAGGAATTTGAAAGTCAGACACGCAACACACATAGACAGAACGCGGAAAAAAGAAGATGAACAAAGTGTAGTGTTACGATCCTTGCTATTTCCAAAGTGCAAATTGACAAGGAAAGACAATGCCACCCAATTGCGAAAGAAATGAAAGCACTTGCAAAGAGATAGAGACCAAAGAAGAAGAGAGAAAGAAGAAGAAGAAGAAGAAGAAGAAGAAGAAGAAGAAGAAGAAGAAGATGTACACCAGCAAGACCAATGACAAATCCCCCTTTTCTCTCCACCCTCCTCCTCCTCCTCGTCTTCGCCAATCTTATTCTTCTCTCAAATAATAATAATAACAATGAGCGGTTGAACCAGTATCCGAAGTTCCCTCTTACGGCCAGCACAACAATAGGTCCACCATAGTCATGGCTTCCCCCTTCACCTTCCTCTCACATGGCAAGGCTATGGCGGACTACTAAGAGCTCTGCGCTCCTGTGCAAGCAGCTATGGTCGCTGCTCTTCAGGCCGCCATGCCTGACTCTGCCTTGAAGCTTCCTTCGTGCGGCACTACGCCAACTGTGGCCTTCCAGATGCAGAGCCTAACAAGGTGATGAAGATGGTGTCCACCATAGCCAGAAAGGTACCTCGCCACTCTCCTCCTTCGCCCCCTTCGTCCTCCTCCTCAAGCTGGGCTGCTCGCTATAGCCAGGCTCGAGCGCCCAGCTCTCCTTCGCCCTCCAGGCACCATTCCGAGTCCAGCGCCGGCTCAAGCAGTATGTCATCCAACCTTGCACACCACAAATGAGGAAGAGCTACTCGCTCCTCCTGAAGATAGCTGTTCTAAGTGTTGCGGGCCTACCCCCGTTACTTCAGTGTTTTTCCCCGCTGCAACCCTCAAAGTCACGGCCACAGGTAAGTACTGGGCCGAACAAGTACCCTTGCGGGTCACACACACTCAGGCCGACAAGCACACAGACAGGCACGCAGACCAGCAGGCACGCACACACAGACTTAGAAAACTCAGCAGAATGCGAAAATCTCAGCAAGGCATACGTCCCAGCGGCAAAAACCAGAAATCAGCAGTGCTCTGAGTTGGGGGTCATTACAAAGGAAAAATATCACTTGTTTTGAGACTTTGGAAGTCAGACTGACTCAGACATTTAACAGCGTTTGACTCCATGGATCACATCTTCCCTCCTCAGGGTGTTCTGCCAATGCCTCAGTTTTCCTATTCAAGGAATTCCGGACGCTGTTTGAGCCGGAACGAATGTGCATATACGCAGCAACTTGACAGAGACTGGCTGAGTCAAAGGAAAGCTGTAGCATCATATATATATATTATATATGTATATATATTTTTTAAAAGCATCATCATCATATCACAAATGGTTCACAAGTAAACAGTGGACACCTGCAGACAGTCGGTCAAAAACTGCACATGTCTTTGCCTCTGCCACAATCACTGCAATGTCAGGGTGTCTGGGTCCGTGTGTCAGAGGGATGCCATCCTCATCCGATCATCATATGCCCTTTCTGCCGCCCGTGATGTCATGATAATTGCGTGCTCTTCTGTAGTGCCCCTTCTTCCTTCCACCTAGCCTTTAACCGAGATTCCCATTGTTGGGAGTGTTTGGTGGGCATGATGGTTAACACCAGATGTCGTGGCGAATGTTGTTCCGAGAAATTGTGAGTATGCATGACTAGGTCTTCTGAAGCATGCAAGAGGGCCGTTATCGCATACGAAGATGTATGCAGATTCAACTGAACTGCATCAACGTGGTGAGGCTGGTAAACCGTGAAAGGAACCAGAGAGAGAAAGAAAAGAAAGGAGTGCGCTGGAGAAAACAAATGCCTTATTGGAAGGTTTGGGAGTGAGCTCAGAGCCCTGCCCCTCCCCCCCCGCCCCCCTCCCCTCTCACCCGCCGCCCTCTCTCTCTCTCTTCTCTCTCTTTCTCTCTCGCCTCAGCGGCTCTCGTCAACAGGGGTGCAAGATTGATTGCGTTGATGTATTGATCGAGAGTGCATCCGTGTGTGCGTGTGTGCGTGTGTGTGCGCGGGTGCGTGTGTGTGTGTGTGTGGGCGTGTGTGGGTGTGTGTGGGTGTGTGTGTGGGTGTGCGTGTGTGTGTGTGTGTGTGTGTGTGTGTGTG